TCCCGGCACAAGGCCTCGATAATACGCAGCCACGATTTTCATGAAGAAACTAGAAGCACGCTCACAAAACAAAGCATTGCTTATTACTCCGACCAATGGGAGAATTGTAGTTGGCTTAATTGCGCTCTGCTTCCTCTGTTGATACATTCGGGAGTATCTGTCTAAAGTTGAATGTTGGCGTATCTGACATACATCTTGTTAACTTCCCTTAGTTTTTGTTTCTCTAGAGGTCATTCACACTTCTCACCAGGAGACACACATTTGTGCAGATTATTTTACAACCCATGATTTCTTCTACTGTACACGTGAGATTTCCGTGGGTGATCACGTTGCACTGCCGGTGGTAACATTATATTTTTTTGTTCGCATGTATTGACAATTTATCGCGTAAAAAAAATTCACTTTACCGGCACTGAGAAGAAACGAAGTCATTTGGAATGTGGTTACCACCTCCGAAATTCAGCTTTATCCAGAGAAAATGAGAAACATTTACAAAAATCTAGTACTCGTTGAGCGTACTTAGGAAGCCCTAAGTATACAATGTTTTGTCGGCAATGCGCAAAATCCATTATGTATGTCGTATGCTATCAAAAGCAAATAACTTGGGAGAGTCGTGCGAAGTCAGCCCGTCATTCCTCAAAAGAATTTTTGATTCACAAAGCGCTATGGTAAATCATTCTCCAATTTATTTAAATCGCGCCTACAATTTAGAAACACAAAGTCCTAGTTGGAATGCAATCTATTGACAATTCACTAGATACCTTGAAAGTAACGCAAACATCTACAATCAAAATTATACACCTTGACGATTAAATTGCTGCGTCATGGAGTCATTGGAACCTTTATCAAGCAGTCAGACTTTCTTGAATCAGTCAGTTGGGAAAATATGCATACAAAAGATAAGTATTCTTGCAGAACAACTACTCAATTTGTTTAGCGTACGAAGAATTCATTCATTCGGACAACGAACAGCCATATTATTCGTTCATCGTATACTTAGTAGTTGAGAAGTAAGAGGCTTAATCTCATCATCGGAATCATTCTATAGTATGCTGCGCAATGGCCGAAGCCCGCAACATGGGGTGTAGCAGTGGTCAGTACATTTGTGTAGACTGTCTCGGATTATGCATTAGTACCGTATGCTCTGGAATTAACAAAACATTTTTGAAAATAATCGACTGCGTCTCATTTTTCTTGTGCAGTGCGTATGCATTAGGTGTTTAAAAGCCTACATAGAGGGAAAGCACTTTTTACCTCCGGTGAGGGGACTGGTGTATCGAACCTGAAACTTTAGTGTTTTAAATCTTTAAACAAACCGACAAAGAAATTAAATGAAAGACCTCTGATATCTGGCTACAAGAATAAGCACCTGCATTTTAAAAAGTAATCAAGTCTTATTCAGCCCGTGAGCACCCTTCGTTTTTTCAGTGATTATCAGATCCTGACTGTGGTGCAAACGTGACCTGAGGACGCACGAGTTTTTGCGTGAGTAAGTCACCGTGTGCGTTTTTCTCTGGCAGGTAAGGTCTCTGGCAGGTGAGGGCCCAAACATTTGCCTACATCTCATTACATGTTATTATGGGAGGGTGGGGTACTCCATCTCGCTTACCATATACTGTACTGTATCCAATACACCAATCATATGTGCTGTTACGAAGATTGACTTTTAGACATTAATTATCAACCAAAGAGTCTCTAAGGGATATTAATTTTTCTTAGATGGCCATATAGTCTTCGACTTAACTCCTGCAAATGTGATAAAATTATGGGGGGTTAGCCATGCATCACAGGGTTAGAGCCTATTTTGAATGCCAGTTAGTCTTTTGAGCTTAGTTGCCTGTTAATTTCGAAGATCAAGAAACAGGTGCTTTTATTAGATAACAGCAAGAAGGCCCGATTGAATGCCTACTTTTAGATAACCAAATACTCATGAAACGGCTTGCAGATATTCAAAATTCAGATTCACATGATCTACTGGGCGCCTGATCGTAAATGCTATGAATATTGCTGAATTACCCACAAAATCCAACTAAACTTGTGTTTTTGCATCAAAAATAAACAAATTCCCGATGAGTTCTATTTTCGGATCCCTTGCTTATTTGGGCGTACCATTGTGAGATCTGCCGAAGTAGAACATCTACAGAAGTATCTTGAATGTTTGGTAATAGTTGTGTTGATGGTGCCAAATGGTTGTTGCACGCGTTGCCTTTGGAAAGACAAATCCACGGTGCATATCGTTAGCTCAACTGATGGTATCCGGCAGAATAGTTTTGTTTTCTGAATCTTACATATCCCTCCAAATTTTGGAGTGACTTCTTCGAAGGTGCCGATGACCGGGGTTTGCTAACTTTCCAAAGCAGACATCCGGTACACCTCTTGCCCAAGTGCAGCGGCATCTACCGGCGCTTGGTATCTTATTTGAATAAAGCAGCATTTGCGTCACAAACAAGATATCAGAAAATGTATTTGCAGTGTATGAGGGCACTAAGTTGCATTGGAACAATTATCATACATTTTTCGAGGCTCAGAAATTGAGCCCGCAGAAGCAAACCTCCATACTTCTAAGTGGCGCCTATTGCGTATTCGGTTATCCGAATTCAGCGTATGACTTTTGCATAAAACTTTCTTTTCACATTTAGGGGTCGCAAAGTATACTCGTAAGATTCATTGCTTTCATTTTCAAGAAATAACATTATCGCGCCATGAAGGTACTTTCGAAAATAATCGGTGAGCAAAATATCAAAAGTTTGATTTTACAGCATGTCACTTGGTCCAAGGAAACCCATTATTCTGGATGACTAAGTCAGTAATCGCACAATCAGTCAGCTCTTTGACACTTGCCAATATAAATGTTCCCACCAATTAATCACGAGAAATGTTGTGGTACACCGTCTAGTATCCGATGTTTTGCGGAAACGCGATAGGTAGCTTGGGAGGACTTCCAAAATAATCCACGAAACCTGCTATGGAAGGCACGATTTACACATGGGTACCACCGACAAATAAACGTTATCAAGGATCAACAAATCTACGCAAGCCAGTGTGTGTTTACGCTAGTAAGCTTACTGCAAAAACGCGTTTGGCTGAGTGAGTGATTCATCAGTGTTTGCACCAGGGTTTGGCCATGTAACTTTGATTGCTGTGTTTTGATCTCCTGCATTTTTGAAAAATAACCTCAAGCTGTGTATGCTGTAGATTTTTGTTGTAAACAAAAGGAAACAAATACCGCGGTTTATTAGTGAGTGCGGGCATTTCTAAATTATGCAGGCATAAAATTCCCTCCTAAGCTTGTTTTTTAGAAGACAAATTACGAGTTTTTCAAGGGAGTTAGTTCAACTCAATGATACCGCCAAAGATTGATCAACCCCGTAAGGACTGACTGAAAAAGGTCATTCCTTCCGCCCTATTAAACACTAAAACATGAGTAGAACCAGTCTAACTGAAGCTGTGCAGAGACGAAAATTATGAACTGGAACCTCGCGTTAATCCTCATTGATCTCACTATTGTAAAGAGGAAACTACCAAGCCCAGGAACCATCATCAACGCGGACGACTGACGCGGATGCTTGAGTACATCACAACCAAGAATCATTGGCTTTATAGCCAACAAAACAAAATTTGAGAGGGCACACATAAGGAATATAATGAATATCCTGGCTTACATATCAGCACAACAATACTCTCACCTTATTTACTGTTATTCTTACCTGGTTGATTTGGTACGAGATATATTTGTTCAAAATATTATCCACTGTTCATCAGTGGGGTGGCTATTGGGCGTCATTCTATAGGTTCTGAGATTTTAATAGATGGCAGCCTTAGGACTGACTTCGTACCCCGGGGATCGTTCAGCTGCATATTTCGCAGTGAATCGCACAGATGTAATTGTTTACTGACTTAATCAATTGGTTGTTGATCCTAAAATTATCGGTGCCCAGTAGATGCAATTAGAAGAGTCGTAAATATTGCAACTTCCAAGTAGTGATATCTCACATTTGTGACATGGGGTCACAAACCAACAAATACAACTCACCGTTGGATGATTCAAAGGTGAGAAAAATTCCACCAAGGTCAGCCAGCGGCAGTACCACAAGGTTAATCTACTCATATTAAATCAACACCTTCTCCTAAAAAGTAAGATATCTGCTATTCTTCTTAGCAGTTTTTTAGAAGCAGTCTTTGTCTGTGTTTCAGTAATCCATATACCTTTGATCTCTCCTTGGTCAAAGGGAATCCTCACATTTTGCCTTGCATGTACACGATGAGAAATGCAGATTTCTGCTTGTTTTTTGGGCCTAAAGAATGTATGGATGTCGAGCGCAGTTACGAAGCTCAATGTTTGTGTTCGTAACACACACCTAGGTTTTCTGACCAACATCCAGGACAAAACAGTTAATGCCGCAGCTGAGAATGATGCTCGGGAATAAAGTTTCACCTTAATGTTTGACTTTGAGAACATGGATTATCTGCTCCTTTCATTATCCCCGTTTTGCAGATTACGTTCTACGCCTTCACTCGTCTTTTATATTTTGTGCTGCCCTTACCACTTTCTCCCATCTTGTCGTTCCATGTCTAGTTGAATTGAACCATGTAGTATTGGCAGATGTGTGAACACCTTCCATTGAGTTGTTGTTAAAGTTGAGTAGGCGTGATTACAATGTTCTCATTTGGGAACCTCAATTCTTGGTATGTCTCACTTTCTGATTGTTTGTTTGTTCCCTGCTAGCGAAAAATAGGCCAAATTCACTAATGGGATTCCTCAACGTATTTGCGATGACTGCTTGCAAACTGCTGCTTGCTTCAAAAATTGGTGATGTTTCTTGCAACGGGCTTACAATGTGTGAAGCCTTGTAGTTTAAGGCAATGTAGAAAAGCACCTTCCTAACTGAAATAGCAACTTGAAAGATGAGGGAATCGCCGACAAACACAAAATGAATTGTGTGCTTAAGAAACGCGTTTCCGGAAACGGCGCGCTAAAGCGTGGGTTCAGCTGCTTGAAACATCACTCTACGTAAGGCAAGGTATTTAGGATGTTCTTCTATCAAGTAGTCGACCGAACAGTTGTCACCATCATGAAATCAGCAGAGAGTAAATATTGTAAATGAACGGGGAGATGGTGTTCTTATTCAACGCAAAGCAGTTTAACATATAGGCATCGTAACTACAATGCAAAAATCGATTCACGTTGAGCAGTTCACAGATAGCCTTGTACGTGTATACCATACGTGTACTTACCTAGGACATTAAACAGAAACAACAGCATGAGGTTTGAGTACCGTATGGGTAAATGTATTTACATCCTCCCCCCATCGCCCAAGTCTTCTACCGAACAGTCGTGTTTTCCAAACACGTATATATATGCGTCGCGTGGTAGGAACCCACGATAACAGAGATGAACACCGCTAAAGCCGTTTTCACGTGATGTTTTTCTCTTTCTGCACAAGCCTATGACTAACGGATTAGGGAGTAGACAATACTTCTGAGACACAAACTTGAAACAATGTGTATGGCAGTTGATCCAATCGAAAGCTGAAGAACGCGATCAATATCGTGACTTTTACGCACCAGAACTTAAAGCTGCTCATATTTTAGGTCGATACATTGACTACGCCCAGATCTGCATATGAGGCAGCGGGATACTTCGTCAGAATTGCGCAACTGAATACATGGTGGAACACGACCCTTGAAACAAATCGAAGGATCATACAGCGTGTACATTATATTGACTTTTGAACACCCCAGTAGGTTGTCACTCCGCCAGAAAAAGTTGCAAAGAAAATAGGTTGTAGCCGCAATGTAGCCGCAGTGTAGTACGCCCAGATACGAGCCGCAATATTTTGCTCTTGAATAATATGGAGCAATGGTGCAATGAAAGTTTGAATATTCCGCGAGACACTATATTTTATCGTACTGTTACCCCGGCTATGCGTCTGAGTATTTGGTTGTTGTTTCAAAGCTGGGTATCATGAGGGTGACGGGCTTCTGCAGGGAGTTTGATAGATATTTCCTCTTTTCGATGAATTTAATTTATGAATAAAAGCCTGGCACCACCATGCAGCGGTTTCATCCCTGTTAAAATTCGCCAAAATATTTGTATCCGGGTATTTGTAGGAACCAATTTCCCAGTTATTGAACGAACCAGCCGTTTGAGAATTCTGATTATCTCCCACTAGACATTGCATCACTCATTGTTCACCACAAGGTCAACCATTAGCTGGATCTTCGAGTAACGGGCATTCATTGGGAAAGCTCACTCATAATTTACTATTGTTTGTTTTCTAACCTGATTGTGAACTCATCTGTAAATGTCATGTCTGAGTAAATTCTGCTCACAATGATGACAGGCCGCTCCTCGCTGGAGGTCTGTGTTCAAACAGTTTGCGGAATGTCTTGGATTCGGCCACAGCCAAGGAGCGCTCGAAGCACACTGCTGCTGACACATGAAAAGAATGAAACACCTGAATAGTGGCTTTCGGAGTTTATGTACAGATTTTCTTCACTGATTGCATAGAAAAACAATCGGAAATTCACGGAATTCTTATATAAGCCAACATTTCGCGAAATGGCTGCATGCTATTCGGAGTGGCCAAATTTTTACTTGGCAACATGCTTTACTTCATCTGACATTTCCCACCTAACCCCGTTTACGCATACGCAAACTTGCTTCTGAGTGCATGGGTCTAATACACAAACATTTGGTTATTTCCCAATATTGTCACCAAGTGATATACGAGGACCTCTGAAACGCTAGTATATTTGGGTTTAATATATTGTTTTTTTTTGGCTCATTGCTCTCCCAACAGAGTGATTCATATGTTTGGGCTTCAAAAAGTTTTGGCTTTATTTAGAATGCGTTGGTTTGATATGCTCGGCGTGACAAGCCTTTGGCAAAGCTTTGAATAGGAATTTTTGTCAACCACGAGGCTTCCACACTGCGCTTATGGATTTTGGGGTATCCCAGTATATTTCGCTCTATACATTTGGTCTCCTGTTTGGACGAATACTAGTCTAGAAATATGAGACGTTGTAAAACCGATGTGTTTTCCGGGTCCTAAATCATCTCAAATGAATATCTTACAAGCTTGTTCTGCAATACCTGCTGAATTCGGAGAATATTACATTCGACTCAAACATAAGCCATTGAACATTTCTTCGCTTGTTATAAATGCAGACGTTGGTCGGATCTCGTGGTTGCACTTTAAGTTGTACCATTCATGATGCGCTCAAGTTCCAACACCAAAAGGTAATATTGTTAACAATAACCTTGTGTGAACTGATGCAGTCATATGTATATGTATGTCTTTACCGCGTAAACCTACAACACAAGAGACCATTCGGTAAAAAGGTACTGCTCTCCTGACGGAGGAGTAATTTTCTTCCAGTGTTGTATCTATAAATAAGCAATATTGGGCAACACAGGCAGGTTTATCCTAGTGCCAGCTGAGTTTAAGTTTGGGAGCCTGAATTGCTCTTCAGTCAAATGGGGTGATCACGCTTTCGTACCTCGTGTGAGCAGACCACGCCCATGATAGAATAAATCTTGTTGAATGTGGCAGCATAATAATTAGATTTCACCCTGATGAAAAGGTTATCGACAATAGCGAACTAGTGAGACTCAGATTTGATTATTATGATAAAAACGATGTAACTATGCAAGGGTAGAAATATGTTCACTGAACAACACACCATAGCATACCTCAGAATATAATCTATCGATCTCTTATCCAGATAGAAGATTGATTAATAAGATTGGCTTTGAAGAGATATGAAGACCGACTCGTCAGAAATGTTAACGCAGATCAGGCAACAATTACTTTTCTAGAAGTTCAGGGGAACTGCCATAGCATGATGCATTTTTGTGTGTAGTCAGCGATATATTTCAAGACAAGGAGACGGAAGAAACTTGGCTAAAATGTCGACCCGAATGCTCTAGAACACCTTGAATGCGGGTGAAAAAATTGTGTCGGACATCCCTCCGCATATAACAGGGTAGTTAACTAGTGCATTTTGAATATCGGGTACCCGGTGTTTAAGGTGAGCAGTTGTACCTAAAGTAATGGCATTCATATTCTCACGCAATTTTGGATTGTGTTGACATCTTTGGAACAGTTCTGCTGATAACAATTAATAAGTTTCCCAATAATGCTTAGACAATTACAAATTGTTGTCTTTATTCTAAGATTACAACAGATTTCACAAAACTTCACATTCTCGCGAAAACGGCGTCAACAAGACATTTTAAAAAGCTACACTCGTTTGCATTTTTCTACTGCTAATTATCCATCCGTACCAAAATTTATTGTTTCAGAAGATTTTATATCTCATGTTGTATTTTATCCTAATTACTGTTCCTAGATCAATTTAAATGCTCTCATGCTGCAAGAGATCACATTTATGCATCTGTTGCGCAAATGTTTGGAATGAAGGATAACCAACTTAGAGATATGTTTTGTGGCCGTTGTGGGAAAATTAGAAGGCTGAAGGAAGGATGACATCAGCGAAGCAGTGCCCCTGAAATATCAGTGTGATGATTCCAGTAATTCTAAAAGTGCCAGGGTAGATTTTCCTTTGNTAATTAATAATTTAATTGAGCATGATCTAAAGGGTGTTTACTGAAAACGGCCGTTTACATGCATTTTCTGTGCTATCCCACCTGAAGTTCTTCAGTGGGTTTTGACCATTCTGCGAATTGTGGATTAAGGCGTAAGGTAAAAAAAGAATTTGAATAGTCACTGAAAAAATGCATATATTTAAACGTTTCTCTCTTGTAGCAGGTCATCACGCTCATTTCCTTTATATAATTCTGAGAAAAATGTGACACATTGGAAGGATACACCCATCCTGAAAAGATTGTATGGATAAAGTTCTGAAACAAGCCAGCACAAATCAAGTGAACGTATAACGATGATTCGTCGGCAGACGGGGGCAGTATTTACAGGGCAAACAGAAGAATGTAAAATTCACTGCGCAACTTGAAGCGTTGTATTTTAACAACTGCATTAGACTTTGGTCATCTGAATTTCTGTCATTATTTTAAGGTGCTTAATAAATTGTCTGGTTGTCGATGCAATCTTTGCGCTCATCAGTATTATCACGGTGTCCAAGTTTTGCGATGTGTTTAAATAGCACTATTATCTGTAGTACCACTGTTCGAAGACCACTGTTTGCTCTGGATAACGGCGGTGATTGAAATTTTTTAAAATTGAAATTGTGTATTCAGCTACGAAATATGGCTAACTTTGCCCAGACTTGATAATTCTATCTTGGGAAGTTTCCTAAATTAGAGATACAATTTTGAAACTCGGACCCTTTGAATGAGGAATTTTCTGAGACGTTATACTTGAGCCTTAATTCTGGTGCGTCAAATACCTTTGTTTCCTATGTACTTATATACGTATGTGTATACGCATATGTAATGTGATCCCATACATTAAGCCGGGTTACCACTCTCACAAACTCTTTTCCTCTGGGTAGCGTAACATTCTCGGTAAACTTCATCCGAGTTGACGGTTGGAGCAGAAAAAACAAATTTCTACAGCTTCCGTTTTGTGTTAATGCACCAATCTATTTTCAAAATCTACAGCTTGTCAACCCACCAGCAATCAACGCACCGATAATTGGTGTCGTCATAACCGGGCGCTGAGGGTAACTCCCTTGAATTTAAACGGTTGGGAGACAGGAACTAAAGGCAGCAGCACTGTCTATTGTTAGACGTTGATTAAAGTGCAATATTTTATATTCCGTTACTTTAACTAACTTCAGAGCAGCTCCTCATCCTGTGTTGATCAAAGACATGAATGTATCGGTCAATGGTAATAATAGTTCGGGTTCATTCTTATCAGATGGCAAACTACTGTTAGGATACGAGGTGGAGACCTCCACATC